GGGGGGGGGGGTTGGAATGGAAGAAATAGAATAAGCAAACAAATAGAAGTAGTCATGAAAGAGGCGGATTATCATGCCAGACACCTCAAATGAGCTTCGATTGACAATATAAGGTGTATTCAATTTGCCATTTAATTTAATTATATTTGGGTATTGCATGGATTAAAAGTGAATGCGTTAGAATGTAAAATCACAGAGGTGTGGAATCACAGAGGGATGGAATCACAGAGGGGCGGAATCACAGAAGGGTGTTCTTTTTTGTCTTTTTTCAATTCTGTATTTTTTTGTCGTTTTCAGTTAACTTCTTTGTTGGTGTACTCACATTGGGAGAGCTAAAGTACATAGGATCACGATAAAGCACCACAACATACCTATTACTATTGTCCTTTTAATTTGTTCATACGAGGTCAATTTTCTGTAATAATTTTAAAAGTCGGTTTCCAAGCATATCTTCACACCACCTATTCCACCTTGATTTGTTGCTATTATTCTTGTGGTTCTTCTACATTTTTGTGCTGTATCATTAATAAAATAGGGCTTTATTTCACAACGCGTCATTTAATTTCACCATCAAATAGCTTTTATTTGTTGATGAAAATGATAAGTGGTTAATGCTAAGAATGTGTGTTTTCTCTTACCGTATATCCAGTTGTATGTCCTCAGAGCTTTATCTAAATTGAAGAGATGGAGGTTTACAATTAATTTAATATAAAGTAGCAGAGATAACCACCTCCCACCCCACACCCTGATCAACACTCACCGTAATCGAAGTCAACGTTTAGCTGAGAATTAACTACAAAGTGAAAATTGTTGTGTAAAAAATACAAATTAACATTCTTATAATATCGTGAATCATATTTTTCAATATGACACTATAATTGCTAGTAAATGCATAAGTGAATATCTAAAATCATTAAACAGGTTGTCGCTCTTTAACAATTAGATTGAATACACTATTTTTATTGAGAAAAAAATTCACACAACCAGTGGTCAATACTAAATTATTAAAATAGCATTTCGTTAGCATACTTTTGATGTGCGTATTGAAGTCCGATCTATCGACTACATAAGTCTTGTCATCAGGTAGTGACGAGTCCCGACCTCTTGATTGTTGGTCTGCGAAAAAATAAAAATGAGCGTATGAAATCAAATAGTGGCAATTATTTCCACATAATTTGAGTTTTTCAGTTGGGATTAATAAGCTTAAATATTCGAGATTCCAGAAAACGATTTCTGTTGAACAGTATAACTAAGATTTCGTAAATAAATATTCATTTTACTTAAACCTATGCTATTTGCTTCCAAATACACCTTTTCTTTACAATTTGATGAAAAATAATATTTCGTTGACTTGACTTGACTAGTTGCCGACTCCCAAATTTAGTGCATGCCCGTTGTTTAAATATCAGTCCCAAAAGTGATGAGCTGATATTTTAAAATTTTCCCCATTCAAAGTTATCTGATGAACAGGGTAAATTTATCATGGGGTGTGTACATGTGAGTCGTGCTTCCGTACTGATTTGAAAGAACTTATCATGAAATGATTGCTTTCAATTTTGTCCTTAAAGCTTTTATCGAAACTTACCATGTTTGCTGGCGTGGAACAGTGGCTTGTCGACAATGAAAGTGTTGTTGGTCTCTGGTGGCATATGAAATGAAAAATATTTGTGTTCAATAAGGTTTGCCTAACCAAACGCCTCATTAAACAAGATTATATGAAGAGATATGATTGACCCTCTTAAACATACCATCAGACAGACTAGACCATGTCGACTGTTCCTCTAAAAATGAGAAACCAAATTATGTTGCTGGAAAAATATTCCGATGGACCTTAAGAGGTAATTCCAATTTACTGACCACGCCATATATGGCTTATTCTATTCAATCTGCTTAGGTGTGTGAAGAGCAGAAGAAAGAACTAGTTCCCATCTTGGCATTAATATCTCTTAGTTGTGTAGCCCTATTAACTGACGTTTGACTACCGTTCACTGAGAGGTCATTCTATCATCTACGCTACAAGTTCATTTTCATCTTGGATGACTTCCATTTCAATAGCTCTCTCTAGCATATTGCTCATAATAATAATAATAATAATAATAATAATAATAATGAAGTGAATTGGCGAACCGGTTGCAAGAAGGCTTGAATGAGTTTTGTAAAACATTAAACAATTACTTACTGGATGGTGGCTCCATGTTTAAGGGCATTTCTTTGCTGAACACAGGGTTCTTCTTGGCAAAGGTATTGGTGTTGGCTGTAATAATGACAAATTGGTACAGTGACTCAATCAAAATTAGCTCATAAACACTTATTTGAATTATTATGTTAGATGTATTTGTTTTCTCGGCTGTAAAGTCAGCTAAAGGGCCAATGATAACTATCTTAAAGTCCCCAATTTAATATAAATAAATAAATGTTAGTTGTATTTATTTTCTCGGCTGTAAGCAGTTCAGAAACCCGTTGCCTTGTGACACCTTTCATAATGGCGCAATTACACTTACGCAGAATTAACACCATGGAACCAAAAATATGTAAATTTTTACGCCCTTAACAAATTGAAGATACCCAAAATACTGACACATTAATTGGAGAATCCTTTTTCACCAGATTTGACATAAAATGCACCTCGAAAGGCGACAGACAATAAGAACACTTCACGTGAATTCATAATATAAGTGAAGCCTTGCAAACTGGGTCTCAATCGATATTTCAATATAATCCCACGCACTCTCCACACCTTTGACCCAGTTCGTGCCTTGCTCAAAAACATCAACTTTCCAAGATGTAATTTACAGATTTTAAACGTGAATACAATGATCAATGATATATTGACAATCGAGTGACTTACTTTTGTCTTGGTTGCGACATTTTCTCCACTTGACTGCAATGAATGCACAGATAAGTGATTTGACAGATAGGAAAGGCATGAAATGGAGTGTAGAGACAGTTCCAAGACAAAGTTTATGTATTAATGAAAAAAAATATGAATTTGATTTCAATATGTAAAAACAAGAGTTCAAGTTACTGAGATCAATGTATTCCGTAGACTGAAGAGCTGCAGCAACACATGGATGCTTTCGATCCTCGGTCTGTTTGTTGCATTTCTCCGGTGGCTTTTCTTCTTGAATACAATAGGCATACAATGTTTTTTTTATTTAAGTTTACACCAACTTTATGCTTTATGTATTACAATAACAATTATTTCTTACCACTGGAAACTTTGAGCCACTCATCAGCATCATCATCATCGTCATCATCATCTGAAAGGGAATTACAAGATAAATTATTGCTTCAAAATCGCCACAAATGGGACAAAAAAGGGGCTATTTAAATTTAAATTCCATGGCACTCCGAGCAAATCTTTTGATCTTTGGTGGGAAGCTGTCCCGTTGCCCCTGGTTACGATGCATGAAATTCAATAACTGCCCAACTGAAGCTTAGACTATAGATAGATTGATGTGAGTGTACTTCTTGAATTATTCTTTCTTTTGAATGTGCCGCGTCTTAAATTCCCTAATGAACTACTCTAGTTTCTCTCGTGAGAGGAGGCACCCGTTCGATCGGAAATTACGATTACGTCTTCATAATAACATGTGTTGAGTTAGATAAGAGCATTAACATATTTTAAATACTGGTACTAGCTTTAAATACTATTTTCTCACCTCTACTGTCGTGGAACTCAGCCTCAGACAACTCTTCCACTGAGACGTCTAAAAGATTTAGAAATCATCATTATAATTGCATGTTAAACCATCTTTCACTTATTAAAAAGAAGGCTTTCTGGAGGTAGCCTAAGAGCTCCTTACTTCAGTAAGATGATAAATAAGGAATAAATGGTTTGGAAGTTTAAGTTAGGTAGAAAATGATGTTCAGATTTCTTTTTTTACAATTACTGAACCATTTCGGGCGATGAATTTGTTTGTTTGCAATAAAATTGTCTAGTTTCCTAACTTTAATATTAAGTAGCCCTATATATTCCTTTTGAGATTATATGTAACACTAACTCTCGTAAGATATTTGTGAAATAACGTGAAATATTGGACAAATTTTTATAACAATAGTTTAAGTTACTGAGATCAGTGTATTCCGTCGATTGAAGAGCTTCAGCAACACACGGATGCTTTTGATCCTCGTTCTGTTTGCCGCATTTTGTCAGCGACTCTTCAGCTTTAATAAAATATGTATAAAAGTCGTATAATTTCTATTTACTTTATCATAGAACATTACAATAGAGCATATTAGATCACTGTATTACAATGAACAACTATTTCTTACCATTAGAAACATCGAGTCACTCAATTATTAGCAAACGAATCATGAAATACTGGCCTAATGCATTTCTTAATTATTACCTTGTTGCATTTAAGCATGAAATAGAAAAGTTGAACAATAGCACTAGCTTAAATGCTCATGAAGGATTAGAGATGCTGGGAACTGCATTGAATGCCATAGTTCAAAACGATAATCCTCCCTTCATGTCATATTTAATGGCTTATTAAGTGAGACATTTAAGTAGTATCCTAAGTTCAGTAGACAACTGATGATGGAATCTCTTAGAAAATCCGAAGGCTCAGTAGCATTAAGCGTCACTTGAAAATTGCAAAGAAAAAGAACTTTCATTACTCACCCGAGGATTTCTTGCGTTTGATTATTCTTCTGATGAGATTTAGGCCCAACAGTATTAGGCACAGCGACGTTAAAGCGTAGCTTCCGTTCCAAATGGTCAAATACAAGGCGCACATTGGAGAGGTTGGAGAAGCGTATTCACAAAGTCGAGACAACACGAAAAGTCAAAATTGTTTGTAAACCAAGCTCCACAGGTAAAAATCGATTAGTCTGCGGTCGATCGAATACATGTGATGCACGCGAATTTAAATACGGAAGTCGCGTGAAATAAAATTTCCTTTTATAAAAAATTGGAAGACAAACTGGGAAAGATTTTTCTTGTATGAATAAAATTGAAACAAAGTTAATTCCGAATTAAAAAACTAAGATTGGAACAAATTTAAATAGGCATCAAAATGTGGGGGAAATTTCACGCTTCGATGAGATTTCTTTCTTAGGCGTGATTGACATTTTTAATAAAATTTTGCTTCTCAAATTTGCCACTCATGTACGCTTGCCTTATTACTTAATTAAATCTCCGTTCTGTCCAGCTGTTCTCGAAATAATGATAATTGATCTAATTATACACCTACTGGTGCTCCAGGTAAAATCATACACATTTTAAAAAAAACAATATTTTAGAATAATTGTGTCAACTTAGAAAAATCACAAAATATAGCAGGCAAATGAGATAAGTTTAGTTTAAGAAAGAAATGAGCAAATTTATTATCATTTATATTTCTCCGATATGACTTAAAGTGCATACGAATGACGATCTACTTATAACAATTCAGTAGTAATTTTTTTAAATTTCTTAACATGTATCATTGAAATCTATGCTCCCAATTTCATATTTTGCCAAGTCATTTAAAGACTAATTATTTAGTAAAACCGTGTGTAAGTTAGCTGTTATATTGACATATACTTGCATGTATATGAACTGATTATCACATAGATTGCAACAAAGTAAAAAGCTCCCTTCTTCGAGCTCGAATCAGTCCCTTAAGCGGGTATTCTGGTCTATAGACATGAAATTTAGGTAATTTTTGAAGTGCTGTACAAGAGGCAAGCATAATTTTTATTTCCAATTTATATATATTTATTTAATCACATTAGAAGCTTGCAAAAAATAAAATAGTGAAGAAATTGTAAAATTCGGTTAGTTATCAGCTGATGGAGTTGACCTCTCAAAATTATGTGTGTGACCATACCCACGATTTTATCTCTCCTAGCAATCTGAAATCAAAAAGAAAACAAAGATTATCAATCTAAAATATTGTTCCAATATCAGGATCTAAGGAAAAATTACAACAAAATATTACAAATTGGCGACTGCCTAAAGAAAAAAACCATTTTTGTACCTCTTCTTTGAACATGCTTCGATTTTTAAAAATAGAAAAAATAAAAATTTGGCAATGGCCGTAGTTCCGGACGTAGACAAGTCCCTAAAGCAGACTCTCTTAAAATTAATTTTCAAGTGTATCGGTTGGGCAGAACCTGAGAAATCGTGGATATCAGAATCAAAAAGACTGTTCTGAGAAAAACGCGCTCAGTTTCAAGTAGAATTTTGCAGTCTAAGCCATAGAGTCATATTTTTAACTTACATTTATTCAATCTGCCATTGCTGCTGCATTCATCGGACCTTCCTCGACTTCGATAAACTATTTTCGGCGTTTCTGTTTTCTATTCGAGCAGTTCTGGCCTCCTTTGATGCGCTGGATGTTCGTATGTCGGAGAGGTCAATCCGGGCATTGTCTCGTCTGATACCAAATGCATGCGCTTCTGAACCAATTTTCACTCCCATAATCGTCATCATCTTCAATACCGGTATAAAGCCTTCATTAAAAATACACACAGCAATAAATGTTGCAATTTCAATGATCTGAGAGCCTGAATGGATATGCTTTGGAGCGAAAGTCCATATCAGCGAGTTTAGAGATTCTTTATGATTTTGAGTTTCTGAACCCAAACATCGAGTCCATAACTCCTTTGATGATAAACGTTGAAGGATTTGTCAACGAATGGACATGGTGGAATGTAGCGTAGACTATACAACTGCATAATAATGCAATTTGAACCCGAGTCCGCATTAAGCCGTTCTTGAAAATCTAATCTCGTTGTTGCCTGTAGTACACGAAACAAACGAAGAAATCGCTGAAAAGACATTGAAAGACTACAAAACACAGTGGCCGTAATAGTTACTTATATTCACCTCTTCATTATTTGATGTTCTTAATTTCGATGCTGATGCACTCGTAAAACTGGTGTTTTCCTGTTCCGTAAACCTATTACCGTGATATATTTATTTATATCAAATGGCAGGCATTTTGATAGTTATCATTAGCCCTTTAGTTGACTTCAGGCTTCACAGAGAAGAAGGAACATCAAAGTGAAAAAAAGTCGAGAGGGGGAGGGAACAGAAGAGTGTTTCAAAGATGTAAAAGAGAGAGACACAAAGGTAGAGTGAAAAAGATGAAGTGAGTACTGTGGAAGTAGTCAAATATGACATACAGTGAGGTGATGGTGTTTTGAAGTCGGAAGTCAACTGCCGAATAACAGACTTTTTTGCCGTATGAGTATACGTTGACCAGGGTGCACTACGTGGAGGTAAGTCTATCACACACCCCATTACCGTGATATATAAATATATATAAATGTAACGGAAGAAAAGGGCCTACTTAGAAATATAGATTCAGGAAGTCAGAGAACCCATTATGTCTTTTGTTCGATAAGTTGCAGTTCAAACGGTTTGTACGCCTGCTCAGCAAAATACTTATTTCTCCGAAAATAATTTGATATTAGAAAATCCTCTCGTAGACATATGCTTAAATAGTTAAACTATGAACATATGGGAAAAATCGATTTTTTTCTAGGCCAAAATACCCTCTTAATGAGAATTAACGCCACTGCAGCGCCACACGAAACCAATCTTGACTCATTTTTCTTTTCAGATATTCTATTTTTATTCAGTTTTGATATATTCCACAGTCAACCTTAGTCTTACAACTAATGAATTTATTGTTTAGCTTTAAAGTCTCACCAAATCTTTGAAAATTTTACACTTGAGTAAATTGAGAGAAAGAATGCAGGTAATACCAATTAATTCTTGAATGTTTTATTTAAGAACTCATCTTTGGTAGACGACAGTATGAAAATATAGGGGTACGTTGGAAGTATGGTGCTTGGGTTTGGAAATTCTTCTCACACAATACTCTTGCAACTTATTAGGAAATGCACCGCAATACCTCATGAACTATATTCAAGGCTAGACATAAACAAGTATAAAGTTGAGAACAAATTATCCCCTATCACGAATAGAAAAGAGTAGATCAGAGTAGATCTGTCAAACGCAGGAGAGTTAAGATGTGATAGAAGTCTCCGAATAGAGCGTAAACAGCAAATAATACGAAAAAGAAAGATGGCCCCAGAGAGATGTGCGCTTCATCTTTACTAGTGAATCCACTCGACAAAGACTCTTACACCCGGTCTATGAACCAAAGCGTACTGACCTTATGATTTCACGACTTGGTCGAAAAGGTTGTATTATTTGATAATACGAGTATGCCCAAACTTGGATGAATAATCGATGGATACTCGTGAATTACTAATTAGCGATCAGCGACACGAACTAAGTTGAACTTCTCATCCCCTTGTTCTCCCCTCTCCCACCCGAAAGTTTCAATCGGACATTTGTCTCCGTTCGTGTCTATTCTACTTGGACTGATCGAAATAGGGCGAACAAATGAGAGCCATATCCTATTGACGAATAAAATATCAGCGACGGTGCATGTGCACGCATATCAATGTGAATAGAAAACAACTTCAAAGCAATCTGGAGAACTTGTCTACCCCAATAATAATGGAGTAGATATTCGAAAATTTAGAGCGAACTCGTAGGCTTTATCTATCAGGAACATGGTTGACGTTCATTTGTTTTCTAGGTTCTCGCATTGCCATGTAAGACCACCTGTAAAGAGGCCATCACTTCAATAATTGTCGAACCAGACAGCCAATCACTTAACATACTTCAAGCAGAAATAGTTTTGCTTTGCTAGATAAATCAATCGACTTTGAGCAATAAGTCGTCCCCTTAACTTTACGTACGTCTGAGTGAGTGTAGAGTTGGGAAACACCAGTTGAAAAGTCATGCCTGATGCTGAAGCCACCTCTTTCATTAATACCTTTATTCTTTCGTTCATTTTACCATGCTTTTAACATTCCCTTCAACTAGATCTTCTTAAATCCGATCAAGAAATCATGAGTAGAATTACTGAGTTGATTTAACTAACTAAATTAATACTGTGGTTAAACAAAACCAGCACTTTTAATAGCATTTCATTTACTTCTTTTCATTAGTTAACAAATCACTCATGATCCGCAATGCTTATTTGCCCATGAAATAATCAATCCACCACTGGGATGAATGGGACAATAATCTGAAAAGTTCGTGATGGATGCCAAATTAAGCAGCTCCAGTATTATTGAGTTTTGAACCAAGCAGAATTCCTCATTTATTCCTCCCCAACTCGACAGAAAATCAGAGGTATTCAAAGTTAAGATGGCGACTTATTACTCAATCATCAACTCACTTATGCTACATAGTGGAGCTACTTCCATTTCAATCTCCATTAATTAATAGCACTTAAGAGGGCCGGGGGGGGGGGTTGGAATGGAAGAAATAGAATAAGCAAACAAATAGAAGTAGTCATGAAAGAGGCGGATTATCATGCCAGACACCTCAAATGAGCTTCGATTGACAATATAAGGTGTATTCAATTTGCCATTTAATTTAATCATATTTGGGTATTACAGAGATTAATAGCGAATGCGTTAGAATGTAGAATCACAGAGGGGCGGAATCACAGAAGGGTGTTCTTTTTTGTCTTTTTTCAATTCTGTATTTTTTTGTCGTTTTCAGTTAACTTCTTTGTTGGTGTNGGGGGGGGTTGGAATGGAAGAAATAGAATAAGCAAACAAATAGAAGTAGTCATGAAAGAGGCGGATTATCATGCCAGACACCTCAAATGAGCTTCGATTGACAATATAAGGTGTATTCAATTTGCCATTTAATTTAATTATATTTGGGTATTGCATGGATTAAAAGTGAATGCGTTAGAATGTAAAATCACAGAGGTGTGGAATCACAGAGGGATGGAATCACAGAGGGGCGGAATCACAGAAGGGTGTTCTTTTTTGTCTTTTTTCAATTCTGTATTTTTTTGTCGTTTTCAGTTAACTTCTTTGTTGGTGTACTCACATTGGGAGAGCTAAAGTACATAGGATCACGATAAAGCACCACAACATACCTATTACTATTGTCCTTTTAATTTGTTCATACGAGGTCAATTTTCTGTAATAATTTTAAAAGTCGGTTTCCAAGCATATCTTCACACCACCTATTCCACCTTGATTTGTTGCTATTATTCTTGTGGTTCTTCTACATTTTTGTGCTGTATCATTAATAAAATAGGGCTTTATTTCACAACGCGTCATTTAATTTCACCATCAAATAGCTTTTATTTGTTGATGAAAATGATAAGTGGTTAATGCTAAGAATGTGTGTTTTCTCTTACCGTATATCCAGTTGTATGTCCTCAGAGCTTTATCTAAATTGAAGAGATGGAGGTTTACAATTAATTTAATATAAAGTAGCAGAGATAACCACCTCCCACCCCACACCCTGATCAACACTCACCGTAATCGAAGTCAACGTTTAGCTGAGAATTAACTACAAAGTGAAAATTGTTGTGTAAAAAATACAAATTAACATTCTTATAATATCGTGAATCATATTTTTCAATATGACACTATAATTGCTAGTAAATGCATAAGTGAATATCTAAAATCATTAAACAGGTTGTCGCTCTTTAACAATTAGATTGAATACACTATTTTTATTGAGAAAAAAATTCACACAACCAGTGGTCAATACTAAATTATTAAAATAGCATTTCGTTAGCATACTTTTGATGTGCGTATTGAAGTCCGATCTATCGACTACATAAGTCTTGTCATCAGGTAGTGACGAGTCCCGACCTCTTGATTGTTGGTCTGCGAAAAAATAAAAATGAGCGTATGAAATCAAATAGTGGCAATTATTTCCACATAATTTGAGTTTTTCAGTTGGGATTAATAAGCTTAAATATTCGAGATTCCAGAAAACGATTTCTGTTGAACAGTATAACTAAGATTTCGTAAATAAATATTCATTTTACTTAAACCTATGCTATTTGCTTCCAAATACACCTTTTCTTTACAATTTGATGAAAAATAATATTTCGTTGACTTGACTTGACTAGTTGCCGACTCCCAAATTTAGTGCATGCCCGTTGTTTAAATATCAGTCCCAAAAGTGATGAGCTGATATTTTAAAATTTTCCCCATTCAAAGTTATCTGATGAACAGGGTAAATTTATCATGGGGTGTGTACATGTGAGTCGTGCTTCCGTACTGATTTGAAAGAACTTATCATGAAATGATTGCTTTCAATTTTGTCCTTAAAGCTTTTATCGAAACTTACCATGTTTGCTGGCGTGGAACAGTGGCTTGTCGACAATGAAAGTGTTGTTGGTCTCTGGTGGCATATGAAATGAAAAATATTTGTGTTCAATAAGGTTTGCCTAACCAAACGCCTCATTAAACAAGATTATATGAAGAGATATGATTGACCCTCTTAAACATACCATCAGACAGACTAGACCATGTCGACTGTTCCTCTAAAAATGAGAAACCAAATTATGTTGCTGGAAAAATATTCCGATGGACCTTAAGAGGTAATTCCAATTTACTGACCACGCCATATATGGCTTATTCTATTCAATCTGCTTAGGTGTGTGAAGAGCAGAAGAAAGAACTAGTTCCCATCTTGGCATTAATATCTCTTAGTTGTGTAGCCCTATTAACTGACGTTTGACTACCGTTCACTGAGAGGTCATTCTATCATCTACGCTACAAGTTCATTTTCATCTTGGATGACTTCCATTTCAATAGCTCTCTCTAGCATATTGCTCATAATAATAATAATAATAATAATAATAATAATAATGAAGTGAATTGGCGAACCGGTTGCAAGAAGGCTTGAATGAGTTTTGTAAAACATTAAACAATTACTTACTGGATGGTGGCTCCATGTTTAAGGGCATTTCTTTGCTGAACACAGGGTTCTTCTTGGCAAAGGTATTGGTGTTGGCTGTAATAATGACAAATTGGTACAGTGACTCAATCAAAATTAGCTCATAAACACTTATTTGAATTATTATGTTAGATGTATTTGTTTTCTCGGCTGTAAAGTCAGCTAAAGGGCCAATGATAACTATCTTAAAGTCCCCAATTTAATATAAATAAATAAATGTTAGTTGTATTTATTTTCTCGGCTGTAAGCAGTTCAGAAACCCGTTGCCTTGTGACACCTTTCATAATGGCGCAATTACACTTACGCAGAATTAACACCATGGAACCAAAAATATGTAAATTTTTACGCCCTTAACAAATTGAAGATACCCAAAATACTGACACATTAATTGGAGAATCCTTTTTCACCAGATTTGACATAAAATGCACCTCGAAAGGCGACAGACAATAAGAACACTTCACGTGAATTCATAATATAAGTGAAGCCTTGCAAACTGGGTCTCAATCGATATTTCAATATAATCCCACGCACTCTCCACACCTTTGACCCAGTTCGTGCCTTGCTCAAAAACATCAACTTTCCAAGATGTAATTTACAGATTTTAAACGTGAATACAATGATCAATGATATATTGACAATCGAGTGACTTACTTTTGTCTTGGTTGCGACATTTTCTCCACTTGACTGCAATGAATGCACAGATAAGTGATTTGACAGATAGGAAAGGCATGAAATGGAGTGTAGAGACAGTTCCAAGACAAAGTTTATGTATTAATGAAAAAAAATATGAATTTGATTTCAATATGTAAAAACAAGAGTTCAAGTTACTGAGATCAATGTATTCCGTAGACTGAAGAGCTGCAGCAACACATGGATGCTTTCGATCCTCGGTCTGTTTGTTGCATTTCTCCGGTGGCTTTTCTTCTTGAATACAATAGGCATACAATGTTTTTTTTATTTAAGTTTACACCAACTTTATGCTTTATGTATTACAATAACAATTATTTCTTACCACTGGAAACTTTGAGCCACTCATCAGCATCATCATCATCGTCATCATCATCTGAAAGGGAATTACAAGATAAATTATTGCTTCAAAATCGCCACAAATGGGACAAAAAAGGGGCTATTTAAATTTAAATTCCATGGCACTCCGAGCAAATCTTTTGATCTTTGGTGGGAAGCTGTCCCGTTGCCCCTGGTTACGATGCATGAAATTCAATAACTGCCCAACTGAAGCTTAGACTATAGATAGATTGATGTGAGTGTACTTCTTGAATTATTCTTTCTTTTGAATGTGCCGCGTCTTAAATTCCCTAATGAACTACTCTAGTTTCTCTCGTGAGAGGAGGCACCCGTTCGATCGGAAATTACGATTACGTCTTCATAATAACATGTGTTGAGTTAGATAAGAGCATTAACATATTTTAAATACTGGTACTAGCTTTAAATACTATTTTCTCACCTCTACTGTCGTGGAACTCAGCCTCAGACAACTCTTCCACTGAGACGTCTAAAAGATTTAGAAATCATCATTATAATTGCATGTTAAACCATCTTTCACTTATTAAAAAGAAGGCTTTCTGGAGGTAGCCTAAGAGCTCCTTACTTCAGTAAGATGATAAATAAGGAATAAATGGTTTGGAAGTTTAAGTTAGGTAGAAAATGATGTTCAGATTTCTTTTTTTACAATTACTGAACCATTTCGGGCGATGAATTTGTTTGTTTGCAATAAAATTGTCTAGTTTCCTAACTTTAATATTAAGTAGCCCTATATATTCCTTTTGAGATTATATGTAACACTAACTCTCGTAAGATATTTGTGAAATAACGTGAAATATTGGACAAATTTTTATAACAATAGTTTAAGTTACTGAGATCAGTGTATTCCGTCGATTGAAGAGCTTCAGCAACACACGGATGCTTTTGATCCTCGTTCTGTTTGCCGCATTTTGTCAGCGACTCTTCAGCTTTAATAAAATATGTATAAAAGTCGTATAATTTCTATTTACTTTATCATAGAACATTACAATAGAGCATATTAGATCACTGTATTACAATGAACAACTATTTCTTACCATTAGAAACATCGAGTCACTCAATTATTAGCAAACGAATCATGAAATACTGGCCTAATGCATTTCTTAATTATTACCTTGTTGCATTTAAGCATGAAATAGAAAAGTTGAACAATAGCACTAGCTTAAATGCTCATGAAGGATTAGAGATGCTGGGAACTGCATTGAATGCCATAGTTCAAAACGATAATCCTCCCTTCATGTCATATTTAATGGCTTATTAAGTGAGACATTTAAGTAGTATCCTAAGTTCAGTAGACAACTGATGATGGAATCTCTTAGAAAATCCGAAGGCTCAGTAGCATTAAGCGTCACTTGAAAATTGCAAAGAAAAAGAACTTTCATTACTCACCCGAGGATTTCTTGCGTTTGATTATTCTTCTGATGAGATTTAGGCCCAACAGTATTAGGCACAGCGACGTTAAAGCGTAGCTTCCGTTCCAAATGGTCAAATACAAGGCGCACATTGGAGAGGTTGGAGAAGCGTATTCACAAAGTCGAGACAACACGAAAAGTCAAAATTGTTTGTAAACCAAGCTCCACAGGTAAAAATCGATTGGTCTGCGGTCGATCGAATACATGTGATGCACGCGAATTTAAATACGGAAGTCGCGTGAAATAAAATTGTCTTTAATAAAAATATGGAGGCACAAGTGGGAAAGATTTTCATAATATGAATTAAATTGAAACAAAGTTAAATCCGAATAAAGAAACTAAGATTGGAACAAATTTAAATAGGCATCAGAATGGGGGGGAAATTTCACGCTTCGATGAGATTTCTTTCTTAGGCGTGATTGACATTTTTAATAAAATTTTGCTTCTCAAATTTGCCACTCATGTACGCTTGCCTTATTACTTAATTAAATCTCCGTTCTGTCCAGCTGTTCTCGAAATAATGATAATCGATCTAATTATACACCTGCTGGTGCTCCAGCCAAAATCTTACACTTTTTAAAATTATTTTGTAATAAATCTGTCCACTTCGAAAAATCACAAAATATAGCAGGCAAATGAGATAAGTTTAGTTTAAGAAAAAAATGGGTAAATTTTTGGCATTTATACTTCGCCGATTTGACTTAAATAGCATAAGAATGACGATCTACTTATAACAATTCAGCAGTACTTTTTTAAATTTATTAACAAATATCATTGAAATCTATGCTCCATACTTCATATTTTGCCAAGACATTTAATGACTAATTTCTTATTGAAACCGTGTGTATGCTAGCTTTATATCGACATATACTTGCATGAATATGCACGGATTATTTTATAGATTTCTAAAAAGTAAAAAACACCCTTCTTCGAGCTCGAATCAGTCTCTTAAGGGGGTATTCTGGTCTACAGACATGAATTTTAGGTAATTTTTGAAGTGCTGTGAAAAGAGGCAAGCATAAATTTTATAACCAATTTTTTAAATATTATTTATTCACATTAGAAGCATACGAAAAATTAAAATAGTGAAGAAATTGTAAAATTCGGTTAGTTATCAGCTGATGGAGTTGACCTCTCAAAATTAGGTGTGTAACCATACCCACGATTTTATCTCTCCTAGCAATCTGAAATCAAAAAGAAAACAAAGATTATCAATCTAAAATATTGTTCCAATATCAGGATCTAAGGAAAAATTACAACAAAATATTACAAATTGGCGACTGCCTAAAGAAAAAAACCATTTTTGTACCTCTTCTTTGAACATGCTTCGATTTTTAAAAATAGTAAAATAAAAATTTGGCAATGGCCAGAGTTGCGGACGTAGACAAGTTCTTAAAGCAGACTCTCTTAAAATTCCAAGTATATCGGTTAGGCAGAACCTGAGAAATCGTGGGTATCAGAATCAAAAAGACAATTCTGAGAAAAACGCGCTTAAAGTTTCAAGTAAAATTTTTGCAGTCTAAGTCATAGAATTATATTTTTAACTTACATTTATTCAATCTGCCATTGCTGCTGCATACATCGGACCTTCCTCGACTTCGATAAACTATTTTCGGCGTTTCTGTTTTCTATTCGAGCAGTTCTGGCCTCCTTTGATGCGCTGGGTGCTTGTATGTCGGAGAGGTCAATCCGGGCATTGTCTCATCTGATAGCAAATGCATGCGCTTCTGAACCAATTTTCACCCCCATAATCGTCATCATCTTCAATACCGGTATAAAGCCTTCATTAAAAATACACATAGCAATAAATATTGCAACTTCAATGATCTGAGAGCCTGAATGGATATGCTTTGGAGCGAAAGTCCATATCAGCGAGTTTAGAGATTCTTTATGATTTTGAGTTTCTGAACCCAAACATCGAGTCCATAACTCCTCTGATGATAAACGTTGGAGGATTTGTCAACGAATGGACATGATGGAATGTAGCGTAGACTATTGAAACTGCATTGTAATGCAATTTTGAACCCGACTCCGCGTTGAGCCGTTCTTGTAATGCAATTTGGAACCCGAGTCCGCGTTAAGCCGTTTTAGGAAGTCTAATCTCGTTGTTGCCTGTAGTACACGAAACAAACGAAGAAAGCGCTGTAAAGAACGTGAAAAACTCCAAATCACAGTGGCAGTAATTATTACTTATAATCACCTCTTCATCATTTGATTTCCTCAATTTCGCTACTGATGCACTCGTAAAACTGGTGTTTTCCTGTTTCGTAAATCCATAACCGTGAAAAATATAATTATAGATGTATGTTTTTGAACAAAAGGGCTAACTAAGAAATATAGTTTCAGGAAGTCAGAGAACCCATTATGTCCTTTGTTCGTTTAGTTGCAGCCCAAACGATTTGGATGCCCGTTCAACAAGATACTTATTTCTCTGAAAATAAGTATAATTTTAGAAAATCCTCTCTTAGACACATGCTTAAATTGTTAAACTATGAAAAAATGAGAAAAAAAATCGATTTTGTTTTTCTAGGCCAAAAAACCCCTTAATGGGAAATAACGCCACTTCGGCGCTTTTCGAAATCAATCTTGACTCATTTTTCTTGTCAAATATTCTATTTTTATTTAATTTTGATATATTCCACAGACAACCGTAGTCTTACAACTAATGAATTTATTGTTTACCTTTAAATTTTCACCAAACCTTTGGATATTTTACACTTGAGTAAATTGAGAGAAAGAATGCAGGTAATACCAATTAATTCTCGAATGTTTCATATAAGATCTCATCTTTGGAATACGACAGTATGAAAATATATGGTGTATGGGTAGTGTAATTGTGGCTCACACAATACTCTTGTAAGTTATTAGGAAATGCACCGCAATACCTCATGAACTATATTCAAGGCTACAGATGAACAAGCATAAAGTCGAGAACAAATTATCCCCTATCACGAATAGAAAAGAGTAGATCGGAGTAGATCTGTCAAATGCAGGAGATTTAAGATGTGATAGAAGTCTCCGAATAGAGCGTAAACAGTAAATAATACGAAAAAGAAAGATGGCCCCAGAGAGATGTGCGCTTCATCTTTACTAATGAATCCACTCTACAAAGACTTGCACATGGTCTATGAACCAAAGCGTTTCACTTCTTGGCCGAAACCACCTCTTTAT